GGTGTTACTTTCTCCAAATCTCGACTCTCATACATCGTCGGATTTGAGGGGGAGTGACACCGCTGCTCATCTATTCCGCTGTGATTTAACCACCTATCTGCCATGACTGATTCCGATACATCTTAGTGTTAGTCATGCATGTTTCTCAAGTACCATTGATCATATGGCTCCATCGACCCCTCCTCTTCGGGGGGAGAGGGGGAGTGAAGAGAAGTTGTCTCTGCTGTTGCTGGTGCCAATGCATTGTATTGCTGTTGATGATGTCTGTTATGTCTCTGCCTTGTTGCTCTTGTTGGTGCCAATATTGTTGCTCATGCCTTTGCTGATGTGTTTCTGCTGTGGTCATGCCCGTTGACCTTGCCTTTGCTCTTGACTTTCTTTGCCTTGCCTTACCCTATTTGTTAGGGTTTGGCTTTGCCTTGCCTTGCCATGCCTTGCCTTACCCTATTTTTAGGGTAAGGCTTTACCTTTGTCGTGCCTTACCCTATTTTTAGGGTTTTGTTACCCTATCTGGGCTTTCTTTGCCATGCCTTGCCACCTTGCCTTTGCTTGGCCTTTATTTGCCTTACCTTGCCTTACCCTATTTTTAGGGTTTGGTTGCCTTTGCTTTTGCCGTGTTCACAGGGCTTCTGTGTTCTGCCTTATCTGCTGCCGTGCTCACAGGGTTTTTGTGTTCTGCAATTGGTGCTTCTCAAGTATGGTGTTCACTCGTGGGTTTGCTCTTGTGTTTCCGCTGCGAACTTTGCTTTAGTTTGTCACTTGTTTCACTCGTGGTTGACGAAAAGACCTTCTCTATAATTGGTGCTTCTCAAGTATGGTGTTCTGTGACTCGCTTGTCAAGTTGGGCGTGCGAAATATCTTTACCCAACTTGAGGGGGAGTGTTGGCGAGTCCTTATGTAGTTAGGATTTTGGTTCCTTATTTAGTTAGAATTTTGGTTACTTACCAATTATTATTTAGTCCTATTGTAATAGAGATTTACTTCCTATTGTAATTTAGATATATTTCCTATTTTATTTAGGGTTAACACATCTTTGTACTTGTATAAATACCTCCATATTGGAGAAGAATAATAATATGAGCGTATCTTAGCATAACTGAATATTTACCCTACTTTGTTTGACAGCAAATAGGTCAAAGCATATATGTTCCTTTTTCAAATAAACATTAATGATTTCCAAACTAGAGCCTCTCCTCTTTGTAATGGGTGACGAGAAAGAAAAAAAAGTTTTAATGTAAATTAGAACCATCAATGAGAAAAAAAAGCTTGTGAGCTATGGAGCTTCCATTCGAGCCAGTCGCTTTTGTCAGGAAATCGGTTTTTGGTACCGGAAGGAACAATGGGCAATGCCATTGTTTCACATTTGCTATGATTGCACATTTCATTGGAGATGAGAAGAGAGCAGATTATCGAAAAAAATGGTTTCTTTTTCTTTTTCGTTAAAGTATATGTGTGTTTTAAAAACTTTTAACCTAATGATGCAATTTTATTTTATAAGTTAAGCAGATCATAGAGAACCCACTTCCCTCTATATAGGACTATGGCTAAAACTAAAACAACCCTTTGTTTGTGTAACAAGCTCGATGCCTCCCTCTCATCTCTGTTGTGTTGGACTCTTTGGTCTTCTACGTTTAAAGCGTAATGGGAAGCTTTTGGCAATGGAATTCACTGTGATTTGGCTTCTTTTGTTGAAATTCATTGCTTCAAGATTCAAGAATTACAAAGAAATAAGAACTGGAGTTGGTAGTGATTGTTGCTATTGACGCTTACATAATTTTGATTTGCATGAAATGTAACTTTTGGCAGTCGTGGACATGCTCCACAATGAGTAAAGGTAATTATAACATGGTCCTAGAGTATAGACACGTGGTACAAGTATATATAACTCTTTTATGTGAATATTTATTGATACTATATTCTAAATTGCAAAATCTTAACCCACCAATACATTATACTATGTGAACGAGTTATACCACTTAGGATGGGATGGCCCCAACTGCTAACCATCTTCAAACTTTCCATAAGCATTTTACATAGTAAATTTGACACGAGATAGAATTGCAGTAGTGAAATGGGGGAACACATTATATTAATTTATTAAAATTGAAAGTGTTACTATTTTTTTTTTTTTTTTTTTTTCTGTTGGGTGTGTATTTAGGAATAGTTTGGGAAGATAGTGGAATTTTCTTAGAAATTGTGAAAATTTGAATTAGAAGTTGGGATGAACTTAGAATAAGGGGTGAAAAAAGAGAAGTGCGGGGTTTAAATAGAAAAACTATTAATTTATTAAACTAAAATAAAATAAAATTCAACCATGTTTGTCCTCCCTCATTAGTACAAGAGAGCTTCATCCAACAAAATACAACCGCTTTTTTGTTCCCATTCCAGAGTCTCATATTTATTCCTTTAGAGATGTTAGTTATTCAAGAAATAATATACTCATACTATAAATACCGATACTAATAGTTGTACTAGTGAAAAGTTTGAACCTCGTTGGAATTCTATATGGTACTAAGTGTTTTTTTTTGTTGTTGTTGCCACTAAACTGCATGCCAACAGTTCTACCACTTGGCTAAGATCCCATTGGCATATGCTACTAAGTTACGTATGTAATGCAATATATAAAGTATAAAATATTATAGTAAATCATTATAAACAAAAGATTATGATGTGTTTTAATCTTTCTTTCATTACTTAGTAGACATAACTTAACTCAAATCCACTATGCAATAGATTTGCTTCAATTCCTTGTGTCAAAATAAAAATTTATATGTTTAGTTCACAACAATTTCCATTGTTTTTATCCAATTTTTACCAAATTGATAATTTGTCAATATTTTCCGATTTTTGGACTACCTATATTTCCAAAATCCCTAATATTTAAAACCCTAGTTGGAGGATACCACCTAGATTTCATGGATATTCATAGTTTATGTGAACAATTTGTAAGATATCTTACCATTGTAAATTGAATTTTCTTTTTGCGTGTGTTCGTACATCAAAGATTCGTGAGATGATATATATATGTTATGTCTATAAATAAAACATATACTTTATGATTCAAACCCTAACCCTAAAAATTACCATCAATTTAGAGTTAGGGTGTGAATCATACTCATTTTGTTTTCTACACTCAAAATATCAGGATAAATTTGGTTTAAACTTAAGATTTAATATATTGCATTAAAACCAAAGTCCCAAACATATAAGTTCTACCTGCAGGTTGTTGCAGCTTGAAGTTAACAAAGGCACAACCTAATCGCTACTAAAACATCAAGCATGCTTAGCATTTCCCAAAGCATCACTTTGGTGTTCCACCTCCAAATTCGCAGTCTAGTTACCTGCAAAATCTATTGATGTGTGAGCTGCTTATAGCTCGGTAGGGAAAGTGAGCCAGTAATTATATTTAATCCATATATAATACACACAAACAATGAAAAAGAACTAGATAAATAAGTGAGTAATGGTGATAAATGCATGAACTCACTCTCTTTTAAACCCCTTTAATCCGTACGACGCATTTCAAAAGAAGCGATGTTGAAATACTTGTTCGCATGTAATGTACGAGTTCTTCTCATACATCATTTCCAGAAAGAACGAAAAAACAACGATTGGAAGCTCAATAAATCAGTTTTTTCTAAGCAGACGTACCAATAGCTGGTGGAAATTTGACTTACATATAATTCTGCAACACATCTAAAATTACACCCATTTTCATATTTACATTATGATTTATTGGGTCCAACAAAATCTGAAACAAACTACCCATAATACTAAACCTAATTTTAACTAATTATGGGTTCTAAAATAGACAACTTCAAGCATCAGCTGATTTTCACATTTTTGAAAGGGAAAATACAATAAGGAGCCGTTCCTCCATTTGCATACAAATCACAGTCTGACATGTGTGCATAAAATTATAATGAATTACTTTTGCCAATGTATTAGAATATGATTTGTCTGTAAAAAAAAAATATAACTCATTACATGTAACGAGCCAAGGAGTGTCGTCTTTGCCCAAGACACAAGACCACTCAAATAGAAATCACAGACCAACCATAATTTTTAGAAAAATGAAAATTTAATAAAGGCAAGTTCGGTGTCAACAATGTTGATCAATATCATCAACTAGAGACATACAGGCGGGCAAAATTAAAGCTATAACAAAGGTACGTATAGTAACATTAAACTTGTGTAGTGATTTGTTTACACAAACAGTTCCTTCAACACATGTTTGATTCATAATTTAACAAAAGTATAACTTTTAGGCTCGTTCGATAACCATTTTGTGTTCTTTTTTTTATGTTTTTTGTTAGATGTAGAATGGATTTATAGAAAGAAAAAGAGTGGGAGGAAACGGTATATAAAAAGGAAATTAAAAACTAAAATTGACTTTTGCGTTGTTATGTTTTCAAGTTTTTCCTTTTTCATAGACTCACATTCATTTCTTCGTCCTCCCTCCTTCCACCATTTCTCATCCCTCATTTCTTCCACAGATTGTTTCAACCTCTCTAACTATAACAAAATAAAAATCAAAACCCAAAACTAAAAGGTAGCAGCCTCTCTAACTTATGGCCGAAATTTCATGATATTTCTTTTGTTCTGTATTAATTTTCTCCTGGCGAAATTAACGAGACGAGCAAACTGACCTTCACTGAAGTTTAATTCATTTTGGGGACGACTAGTCGCGTCATCGTTCTCATCGTCTTCCGTGGCAGCAGCCTTCCTTCCATACATCCCATAGAGAAGTTTCTTCAAAGAAGCTCCACATTTGTACCCGATCGCAGGCTCATGAACCACTCTGTTATAATTCTCCACTGAAAACTCATGGGTTTTGTCCGCAACCAAACTTTCACGCTCTCTCCGATCAGTCCTTCCCCACTTGAACGCGAATTTCGCCAGATCAATTCTATCTGACGCCTTCACCACACCCTCGTCTTCGTCTTCCTCGTTGCCATTCGAGTACTCATATGAACAAGAAGAAAAAGAAGAAGGAGGAGGAGGTGGTGGTGGTCTGGTGCGGAGGATTTGTTTCAAAGAGCGGTACTTGATGGGCCGCCGCTTAAACTGGCACGTGTTGTTGACCATCGTCTTCATCTTGGGAAGAGGAGGAGTTTGGTGATAGAGATCATGGTGGTGTTCTTTTTCTGTGTCTTCTTCTGAACGTACGTTATTCTTATGGGCCCCGTTTTCTGGACCGGCATGAAATTGGAGGGACTGGTTTTTCTCATGAAAGTTCTTCATGGAAAAAATGAGAGAGAGAGAGAGAGAGAGAGAGAGAGAGAGAGAGAGAGAGATGGCAGAGAGAGAGCGCGAGAGAGAAGATATCGAAATGTGTTTTGAAACTACTACTGTGGCCCTGTGGGTGGGGATTGGAGAGAATTGGGATTAATAGGATTTTTTTTCTTTTTGGGAATTTGGGATTAATATAGAATCTCCAACCATTTTTCTTTACAAGGAGAATTGATGACGTGGCTGCCAAGTGGGTCCAGTTGGAGACTCTCCAATCGGATGACAGGGGGGGGGGGTAGTATTTTGATTGGGTCATGTCATGCCTAAGTTGACCCAAAAAAAAAAAAGGACACAGAAATGGTAAGGTAGTTTCATGCATGGCTGCTGGGGCCAACAGAAAAATCCATCCTTGCGCAGAAAATAGGGAGAACTGAGCTTTTAAGCCAAACTTTTCTAGGTGGAAAGTTTCTCGGAAAATTTCAGTGGAGTCTCTTTTGTTTTGATGACATTTCCTAAAGTGTATGCCAAACATTTTTAATATTTATTTCTACATCTTCAACCGCGTATCTACGAAAATTCGATATCGATTACCATCAACGATAATTACTGGAATTTGCTCAAAATATGAAAACTTTGAATAAAACTGTAGCAAGTGTTAGTGACATTTTTATTTTAAAGTTCAGTCTGGTGTTGTTTTAACTGGGCATCAGTCCTTACTTTCATAGCCATAAATTTGTAGCATAATTATGAAGTTAGGGCCGCATCATGAAACTGTATTAAAATTTTGGTCACTTTGATTTGCCCAACATATCAGCGAAATCTTCAATTCTTTTATCATACAGGGCTGCGTTCGTCCTGGACGTGATTAAGGAAACTGGAGATTATGTTGAGAAGTTTTAGGATGGAGGGCCACTTGATGTATAGAAGAAGCCAAGAATGGTGCATGCATGTCCATGAGTAGACTCCATGGCTCAGTTGCTTTTGTTTTCTGTGATTGAAGCGTAGCAAAGCTTGTTTTCAATAATATAAAGGGGGGAAAAAAAATTATAACAGGTACGTCAATATGGTTTTCTTATGCTGAAGCTGTGTATAGTTACTGCTATAAAGAAGAGAAAGCAGAAAGGACAGAGAGAGAGAGAGGGGAGATTTGAGCCTTAAAACTAAAGAACAGAAGAGAAGAGAAGATAACGCAGAAAGAAGACAGGAGAGCTGAGCCTTAAAAGAGAGAGAGAGAGAGAGAGAGAGAGAGAGAGAGAGCGCTTTTATTATAAAAATATTGAAATTTCATAAAATATAAAAAATACAAATTCTTTCTGGAAAATCACTTGGGAATGCTTAGCGCTTCTAAACTTTTTTTCCAAACGCTGTCAAAAGCGCTTTTGGTTGTCAGAAATTCAGAAGCACCCCTAAACAGGACCAGGGAGAGAGGGGTGGTTAAAACATTTCTTTGAAATGAGGCCTTGTGTTATTGTTAAACCTTCTATTTAATAGAGTAATTCTAGTGTACTATTGGAGATCATTACATGGTATAATTCATCTACAGTTAAGTTTAGGTGGATATTTATTGATACAAGTTAAGGTTTAGGTGAATATTCATGGACTAGTACCTTCCAATGAGACAAGATTGTGATTTTTGTGTGTGGATGATTTCGTTAAATTTTTCAAGGTTTTTTTTTTGCATGGTATTTATTTTATTAATTAGAAGATTTAATGTCATAGATTTTGCGGTGGGTTTTTGGTCTTGTACGCGTTTTAAGGCTTTGGTTCACGGAACGGATTTGAGGGGAAATCATTTTCCATGTTATTTTCCAAGGGATGGGAGATGGAAGATTAATTTCCCACGTTTGGTAATGTTGGGAAAATAACCGAGAGATATTGCTTTATTTCATTTCCCATGTTTGTTATGAGTATGAATGGAAAACCAAGTTTGTATAATTTTTCAATTATACCCATATTAAATCAATAAAAAAAGAATGCATTTAATGATACATTGTAATTCTAATTTGTTAATGGGGATAAAATAGTCATGAAAAATGTACATTTAATGTTGGCTTATTTTCTCAAACTTTCTCATGAGGGAAAACAAAACCCAAGTTGGGAGGAAGGCTTCACTTTCCCACTTACTTTTTCATGTGCCATGCAACCATTTCCCATGCTTGGACTTACCAAACATGAGAAATCAATTACTTTCCCATGTTTGGTAAGTTAGGCATGGGAAATTGTTGCCTAGCATATGAGAAAGTAGGAGGGAAAGTGAAGCCTTCCTTCCTCCTTGGGTTTTACTTTCCCTTCCCATGGGAAAGTAAGGCTAGCATTAAATACACTTTTTTTCTGACTAATTTGTCCTTACTAACAATTCATAATTACAGTTTTTATCCAACAACTATTGGTATTCTTTTTTTATTTTTTTTATTCATATTTCTTTAATAGGGGTACAATTGGGAAACTAAACAAAATTTGTTTTCCATTCCTACTCAAAACAAACATGGGAAAGGAAATAAAGTGATATTTCCGAGTTACTTTCCCAGCATTACCAAACATGGGAAAGGAATCACCATTTCTCATCCCTTGGGAAATGACATGGGAAATGATTTCCCATCAAATCCGTTCCGTGAACCAAACAGGGCCTAAGGGTAATAGGAAACTTTGGTGTTCAAAGCGTTAAGAGAAGAAGTTTTAACTTAGAAAATACTTAAGAAAAATAAGTAGGCCGGAGTTCTATAATAATGGGTTCCATTGACTTTTATATATCATTTTATCCAATTACATAATCGAACTCCCCAAAAATAAGTCAAGATATCCTAGCAATTGTAAAATTATCACCAAATAGGCCTTATGGTTGTGCGAGCAAACAACAAAACCAAACTCTTCTCTCTCTTCTATTATGTGAGTATCAAAACTAGAGGTGTTAAACGGGCTGTGTTGGGTCGGTCTAACCTGTTTATAGTCAACTCATTTAATAAACAGGTGGTGCTGGGTCCGTCCATTTAGGAAAATCATCAATCCTAGCCCGAGCCCATATGAACTCAAACCATGCTGGTGTCGAGCCACCAAACATGCCGATATGGGCCCAAATCAAATTTGACTTATGTATGCAATTTTTTTTTTTGTAATTTTTTTACAACTTTATTTAAATCTTTTTTATAATTATGTATATACTAATAAGATTTATTATTTGTTTAAAAAAGAGATCAATAACTTTATTTAAAGTACATTTAACTAGAAAATGTGGAGATTATTGTTTGGGTTTTAAAAACCAATCTATTGATTTAACCAATATAAAATCACGTGTCACCTTTTATAAATAAAAAAATAAAAAAAACTCACGTGCCATTTTGACAAAAACCAAACCATTTCGGGATCCGTCGGACCAGAAAAAAACCATACGACCAAAAGCTAAACGAAACGAAACGAAACGAAACGGAGGAATATCTTATCGAAGTTTAGAGAAATAAAGTTTTTGTCGAATTCATGGTAACACGGACTTAAGCTTTCTCAGGGAAACCAGTTGGATTGGTGCGATGCTGAAGATAATCATGCGAGCTACAACTGCTGCTTCTTCTTCTTCTTCTTCTTCTTGCTGGAGCAGCAGAGGTATGAATTGTCTTCACTCTGACTCCAGTCTTGTTGTTTTCGTCAACAATTACTTTGCTTTCTTTCACTCTCAATCTTCTAAACCAATTAAATCTACAAGAACCCAACCAGAGCAGCCAAAAGGAGACTTGCCTAATATCACTAATCTAAACATTCTCATTAATTGTTATTGTCATTTGAACCAAATGGGGTTTAGTTTATCTGTCTTGGGACAATTCTTCAAATCGGGCTTTGAACCAGATGTCTGGACCTTCAACACTCTAATCAACGGTTTTCTTCTCGAGAATAGAGTGGCTGAGGCAGCAGGAATTTTCAACAAAATGATTGCGGGAGGTAATTGTCAGCCTAATGTGGTTACTTATGGCACACTAGTAAAGGGCTTTTGCATGAAAGGTAACAATGGTGCTGCTATTCAGTTGCTTAGGAAGATGGAAGAAGGAGCTTGCAGGCCTAACTGAGTTGTCTATAGCACAATCATCGACAGTCTTTGTAAGGATAGACTAGTTGATGATGCATTAAACCTCTTCTCAGAAATGATGTGCAAGGGTATTGCCCCAAATGTCATTACCTATACATCCTTGATTCATGGAGTTTGCAAATTAGGCGATTGGAAAGAAGCTACAAGGTTGTTGAATGACATGGTGAGTAGAAATATCTTTCCAAATGTGCGCACCTTCACTGTCTTGGTAGACACACTTTGTAAGGAGGGGATGATTGGGGAAGCACAAACCGTGGTTGAAATGATGATTGAAAGAGATATTGAACCTAATACTGTTACGTACAGTTCACTAATGAATGGTTGTTGTTTGCGAGGAAGAATGGACAAAGCGAAAAAGGTTTTTGAACTAATGCTTAGCAAGGGCTCCATGGTTGATGCTTTTAGTTATAGCATATTGATAAACGGATTTTGTAAGCATAAGATGATGGATGAGGCCATGATGCTTCTTGGGGAAATGTCTAGTAAAGGGCTGGTTGCAGATACCGTTACTTATAGTACTCTTGTGGACGGTTGTTGCAAAATGGGCAAAATACGTGATGCACAACAGCTGTTCTCTAAGATGCAAGCTTGTGGCCAACTTCCAGATGTTCAAACTTATGCTATTCTACTGGATGGCCTGTGTAAAAGCCGACAACTTTCTACAGCAATGCAATTGTTTAGAGAGATGGAAGGGAAGAGGTTTGATCTAAATATTGTGATTTACAATATTCTAATTGACGGTTTGTGCATAGCTGGAAAAATTGAATCTGCAAGGGATCTGTTTTGTGGTTTATCATCCAGAGGACTTCAACCAAATGCGAGGACATATAACATAATGATTAAAGGACTCTGTATTGGGGGCCTGACAAGTGAAGCAGAAAAGCTGCTCGCCGAAATGGAAGAGAAAGGTTGTTCTCCAGATGGGTATACGTATAACATAATTATTCGAGGGTTCATCAATAACAATGGGACAGTAAGAGCGATGGGACTTATTCAACAAATGGTGGAAAGGGGTTTCTCTGCAGATGCATCAACTACAGAATTGATAGTTGATTTATTGTGTAAAGATAAAGTGGATCCAGCATTGTTGCCATTGATAAAAAGAGAATTATGAACTTAACTCGCCTCTTTGAAAGTTGAAACACATCTTCTATCACAGTAAACATTGAGACTGCAAGTGGATTTCGTTGAATTTTTGGTCTGAATGATTGTTGATGAGGGAGTTACTGAGTGTTTTTCATTTTAGTATGAGGAATCTTTTACAACCATAATTCTTCTCAATTATCAATAGTATGTTTTTTTTTTTACTAATAGTTATATACATTCTATAAATTGCCATCAAAGTGGGTTGGGTATTGGGTATTGGATATTGATATGCATTGAGTTTTATAAGAACTGGGTCCTTTTGACTTTTATACATCATTTGGATATGCTCTAAGGTGTATAGCGTTATCGGGTTATTTGGTCAGACAATACCTCAAAAAATTTGTCCCCTATTCTTTTCATATTCTTTTCATATTTTTTAAGTCTTTCTTTTGAGGTTTCCTTAACTCTTGACCTTTCAATTGGGGACTTGCTTGAAGTCGGATTGTAATGCCCATGTCATTGGAAGAGGTAAATGCAGTTAACAAGTTCATGATTTTGTAAAAGAACTATGAACTATGCAGTATCAAGTAGCGCAGATGTACGTTGTTAGGAAGATGCAGCAACAGAACAAATCCTTTGAAGATGATGTACTTTGGTCAGTACTCTTTCAAAATTTACCATCTACAAAGGTAAATCAATACACGTAATATGTGGTCGGTTTAAGTTGCTGCCAAAATGGCAAATGAAAGGCGTTCCTCTAGTTTTAGAACCCCTTATTGTTTAGTGAACAGTGAACAAAAGATTATCTTAAACTGAAGGTGTGCTGTTTTATGGAGTAAGGAGAAACCTGAAAGGTTGTGCTTCACTCTTTAGTTAATTGCACAGTAACCATAATCACCTAGAGAGTTTTGGTCTACGTGGGAGCATTGATACGGCTTAGGTTCCTACATATATGATGGCCTTACTATTTCCTTCCTCTTTATTTTGGTGAAGTAGAACGACTGTTAATAATGTTTCATGCAGACATTTATTTTATGAATTCCAAGGTTACATTATCTTATTCAGCAAAGCTCCTACTTGGCTTACCACTTTTGCACCAGCTGGTGCTCTCATCATGCAAGAGGAAGCCTGGAAGGCATACCCAAGATGCAAAACAGGTTTTCCATGTGTTCTTGATGTCAATTTTTGTATATCTTTTTCGTTAAACACACTTCAAATTTGTTACAACATGGTATTTGGTTGTCTGTAAATGGATGCTCTACGGCACAGTAATCAAGGTAACAGAATTCTTGTCCATTTCTGAAAACAATTAATTGTCCATCTGTATTCTTAGAATTTCTCTACAAAAGAATTTAGAAGCATAATCGCTAGTGTTTCATTTTTGCAGTGCCCATACTTTACCAAGTTTCAGCTGACATTGAAACAGTTCACAGGGCTGACAATGGACAGACAAATAATGTAAGTTTCTAGAAAAGTTTCTGTTGTCTTTTGTTAAGGTTTTTTTATAACTCTCTTTGTAGTGGGGAATTTATAATTTAATGTCTGTATACCCTACTTTTCTTTCTTGTTCTTCTCTTTGTCACTTTGAAACTAAAGGTACATGGTCTAAGCAAAGAACAACTAGCAACCAGGGATGTGAAAATTGTTGACATTGCATCATCTGCAAGGGATTACTGGAGTTACGTAGTTAGCAGTAGCAACACAAACTTATCCAAAGTTTCGTCAGCGAAAACCGGCCGTGGTCCACTTTTAGAGGGATCCGGTTGGAATCTTCCCTACCAGTAGTTTAACCCTGTTGTTTATGAATTTACGACGTGTCAGTTACTCACAGTTTGTTTTATGTTTCTTTTATTTTAGAATACTTTTTTTGTGACTATCCATGTGCTATCTTCTCTCTCTTTCTCTCTCTAGTGCATTATTGTTTTCTAATCCTACTTTATGCTAGGGCACACAAATTCTATTTTATGAATGTGTGGAGAATGGCATTGTTTAATTATGTTCTCCAAGTGTCTGGCTGGAAACAAAAAATGCTGTACATGTGATAAAACCTTAGTCTTGCATTTTCTTGGATATTACTTTTTACATGGATAAAAAGTATTGCAAAACAATTGCACTCTCTGATTTGCCTTGTCGCTTGAGTTCTCATGCAAATCTAGCTTTTAATCTGTTAATCATTGTTCAAAATTTTCAGGATAAGTCGAAGCCAGTTATGACAGCGTACAAAGTCATCACCAATGATGCACCATATTGGGGTTCTGGCTATAGAATTGAACACACTTTGCTACTGGTAGGGTCTCTTGGATTTTGAACATGGCCATTTATTATTTTTCAGAATGCAATGATGCATGCAATAGCTAGGCAAATGCCACCATCACATCTGTATATAAGGTTTCTTTTGCAAGCAGAATGAGTCAATTTGAATGAGTCAATGCAAGCAGCTTTGGGATTGTATCCGAGTCTGGGCCTCACTTTGGGCTTCTGTTTCAGCAGAGTTTAGGAAGATTAGTTTTCAGCTTATCCATCTAGATTGGAAAGCGGTAGTTTTGTAGTGTAGAGCTTATCCATCTCGTGTGCTGTTGATGTTTTATTCTTTCTGAATAATATTGTTTCTTTTAAAAATAAAAAAAATATTTGAAGAACACAATTTTTTTCATAGGATTTTACTTATGGGGATGCCATCTTTGAATTTAATGCTCTAGTCATGCTTATTGGGCATGTAAAATCAAATGTGCCCAACCATTCTATTTTTTTTTTCTGAATCATTCTATCTGTGTTGCATTGTGATTACCATTTTCTCCTCTGTGATATATAAAAATTCTACCTTCTTGATGGCATATTTTATCTCTATCTGATTGGCTTGAAAACATCATAGATGGGAGAAGAGCATTACAAATCCAAATGGCAGTTTGATGAGTTGGATGGATTTCATTATTTGGATAAAAATTTCCTAAATGAAACTGATTATCCTTGTGAATTGCTATATCTGTAATGGATCATAGGATGGGTTGGTGATCACTTTCCAACTGATGTTTATATGGGGGGAGTTTATATACGTGGACTTGAGATCACATTGGAATTATGTGGATGTTTTCTTTTCCTTCCAGTCTGGTTAATAGAAACAGATTGAGGAATCCGTCAGTCATAATTGAAAAATGAGGTGTTAACCTTGTTCAAGTTGAGATTCGAGGGAACAATAAAACTTTTCAGCAAACTAGAGGGAGGTAAAAGTGTTCTTTGCTCATTTTATATCAATTTGTACTCTAGTCACATCTATTTTGTCATTTGTGTTCTTCTGACTCAATTGTTTCCGGTCATTCAACTTCATCTCAGAGTGAACTTTAGCCGGATCAACTTGCTTAGAGTGTGGGTTTTTGTATGCCAGTCTGATTAATTTCTAGGCATTCCCAGTCTTAACAATGAAAAATGTAACTGAAAAATAGCAGAGTATGCTTGGCAATTACAAACTGTAGTTCTATTTTAAAACTGAACATTACGGTGCAAGTGAATTTCTGTTATTTATTGACTTGCTTCCAAACCAATGATATTTTAGTTTTTAATGACTGCTATTCTATGCTACACAGGAACTTGGGAGGCCGACTTTGGTGAAGAGTATGGAAGATTTCGACCAGGGATTATTACCTGAAAGCAAAGACATTTATAGTGGACAGAGGGCTCAACTTTCAACTTAAATCCACACAGCATGGCCTTTCGTTGACATGGAGCAAATTTGTTATACTTGTGTTGGGTTCTAATGACAATCAGGTCCGTCCGTCACATAACAGCAGGCCCCACCTATTTCCTATTCGACTGCGAAGGACGTACTGAAGGAATGTCAATTGAAATGCAGGGGTTGAAATTGTTTTCCTGCTGATACATTTGGCAACATAAACTTGACAGAAGAGTGTATAGCACGCTAACATGTATCATAGCCAGATAAATTATCAAAGAAGGAAATACCCAGATAGGAGATTTTCTGCTTGTGTTGTTGTACCATAGTTACATTGTTCTGTTACCTTTAAAAAGAATTGTAGATCAGGCTTGATGGAAAGCACCACATTCATAATTTTGTTAAGTCCAAAATACACAGATAGTATAATATGTGGACAATTATTTCTTAAGAGAACACGAAAAACCTCAAGGGTGTTAATGTAAACACCTCTTTAGAAAAATACTTAAGAAATACAGAAGAAAAATAAGTAGGCGGGAGTTCATAAGAACAGGGTCCTATTGAGTTTTTGCATCAGTTTTATCCAATTACATAATCGGACTCACCAAATAGGCCTATATAAATTATCACAAAAATGACATTCAATGTTTAGTAATTCCTTTGAGTTCGGGGTTGACGTGCGTCTACCGTGGCCATGTTCTAGGATTTGCCCTCTAACTGGTGTATGTTAGTTTTTAAGAAAAATTAGGTATTAGACATAAAAATCTTTACTAATGAGGATTTGATACGTAGAGTATTTCTGTTTTAGTTTTGAGCATAACTAGCCTCGCCAACCCCTCTGTTCATGTGAAGTATTTGCATCACCTCCATCTCTGTCTGTCTGTATTCATACAAAAGCTTCTTATTTGAGTTAGAAATGATGCTTTTTATAATAACATGGTTTTGAAGACTAATCTCTTCTGCATTGTTGCAGGTAATATTTTCTACAGAAGCAGATCCTCCAGTTCTCAGGATAATTGATTACAAGTATGATTGCTTTCATATGATTTTAGAACAAGTCCATAATTTCTCTTCAGTTTGACTGTTTCCTGTTCTTGTTTTTGATAAATGCTCAAAATGAACTTTCGCTTACCAAATTATAATAGAGATATAGTTGTTAATTTCAAGTTTAGTCATGAACTACATTACTGATTCTGAGGTGTAAGTTTAGTCACATTAATATACTTTTTGCAATCATGTCCTATTCCTTATCATGACCTACAATTATCTGATATCAGGCAATGATCTAATTTAGCTGCAACTTCTTATTATAAAGCTCACTTACTATGCATTTGTCTTGATTTGGAAATGGTATTGCAAAACCACTTTGTACAGGTTTTATTTTTATTTTTTTTGTTTTGGTCGAAATCATATCTCATTTCATTAAAACGCCGAAGAGGCAGGTGTACAAAGCACAAACCAATGGCATAACAGAACCGTAACACAACCAGGAAAGAACATCTAAACTCAAACCAAGTTTAGAACAAAGTTCTCATACCCAGTACAATAACAAAAATAACTCAAAATAAAACAACACACAAAGTCCAGTGGCCCACCCCAAATACAATTAGGGCCCAAAAATAAGCATACAGCCCAGTTCACACTCAAAGCTAGGATTTTGGCAAACCCTATCCTAAGCACACAAAGGCCGCCGTGAGAGGAGACATCACCACCGCACAAAGCAGCATAGTTGCACACAAAAGACCCACAAATCTGCCACCAAGACCAGAAGTTCCCTCAACCAGATAGCCGTATCAGCTCCAAGACATCCATCCATGAATCACCAACTCCACCAAGCTTGAACCCGCCTATGCCCCACTTACATATAACAAATTGTATACTACAAATCAACTTACCAGCTTGTTACAATTTACAAGAGTCATATATTAGACCCACAACCACCCAAAAGGCCAAAATTGGCTTGTTGCAAATGCCACATCAAAGCACAGAGAAATGAATAAATTCAATCACATGGTACACTTAGAATGAGTTCAAAATGATGATTTCTCTCTTCACTAAAATAACAGAAGAACAAAATGAAATCAAAGCCTAACCATTAAATTCAGCTGCAATTCCATTACAAACTTCCAAGACAAAGAGAGAAGCTATCTTTCAGCTACAAATCAGAAGCAAAAACAATTGCACAAAACTAGTACAATAAATAAACCAACTTTCTCATTTTCTAACTCTAAAAATGAGGAATTTGTGAATATAGACACATTTTATCAGCAACCCAATTTCCCAAAACAGATGTAACTCACCCAATGTTTTGGTTAAACTTTTATTAAGACTCTTAGCTAGCAGCTTGAAATGATGTAGAAAGTTTGGTCTCTTGGTTGGGGCGTAGTTTGTTGGCTAAGAGCATCCGCAATGATGCTCTCTATTTCTTAGTTAAAATTTAGCTAAAAATATAAGAAAGCTATTTTAGGAGCTCTCTAAAAAATTTGAACTCCAACCATACTCCCTAATTTGGAGAGTCATAAATGCTATAACTCTTTTATGATTGGTCCATCTCTATTAAAAAATAAAATAAAAAATAGTTAGCATTAAATAAAGGTTTGAAATATTCATTAAATAAGGCAGCATTAAATTATAGGGAGCCATTAGGAGTACTTTCTCTCTCCTCAGATTTAGGAGCTCCTAGAGGACTCCATATTTTAGGAGGTGGATAGGGAGCATGGTTGGAGTTGCATTTTTACAATTCCTCCCTAAAATTTGTCTAAGGAAGTGGTTTAGGGAGCCCATTGCGGATGCTCTAAGCATTGTAAGAGTTGGGGGTCAGATAGTGATCTATGTGTGCATGACTTAACCAATATGTCCTAAGCAAGACATGCTTCAGGGCAATGAATACAAAACATGATTAATCATTTATTACATATTAAATGCTGCTTGCTTCGCTATGTTACCTCGTTGTGTAAAACCTAATCTTGGCCAACAAGTTTGAGCAACTTGAAATCAAGGTAAAATTTGTAAATACAGAGATGAAAGTTGAACTCTTGTTGTAAGCTAGAGGTTATGAGTATCCGAAGACTTAGATCATTGGACTATTATGAAATTAAAACAATTATGTGTCTATCTATGTTCTTTGGATCATTCAACAACACCAAAACTAAATGAATTAAAACATATGTTGTACCTAAGTACCTAACAGATAGACTTTGTTCAATCATAGAGGCAATAGTAGGGAAACTGAATTTGGTTAATATTACAGGGAACAGTCTTAGGAAAGTAGGAAAGACATACATCCTCTCTGTAATGTATTGGCTAATTTGTATTTTTGGTGCCCCTAAAGAAAGAAAGGACTAAACATCAACCAAAGCAAATATGCCTATCACAACTAAAGAACAAATAAATTAGTTTCCTTCCATATTGAAACGATCATAAACCACAACATAAAAGTTAACATGTTCATATCTCTAACCTAAGCCATACAAACTAAGTCGTTGAATTTAAAACGTTCACAAGCCAAACACAAACAGAAAACACAACGATTCATACAATAAACACTAGAAAATACTGAAATGAGAAATCAACATAAGAATAAACGGTGAAAATACATACATCAGAGGCGTTACAGATGAGCTCATGGAGAAAGATCTCCTTGTTGCTGTAGAAGGTGTTGATGATCAAACTCAGAAGCTGGTTGATCTCATGGATCAGGACCTGAGTCCACCTCCTGAGTTGTAAAACGACGTTGCCGAGGTTGGCGTATCCCGCTCATCAAAGAAGAGCTTCATCAATGGCGGCCGCAGAGAGAAAGACGAAGCGGCAACCCCTTTGGCTTGGAAGAATCGTCGTCATCGGCATTGTAGAATAGGAGATCCCGGTTGAAAATCGGGAACGCCGGACGAATCTGGCCATTTTGGAATATATCGTCGACGGAAATCGGCAATCCATCGGGGTTGGTGCATGCGAAAGAGAAATCGTCTTCATCTTCGTTCTTCTCGCTAGCACCACTGACGTTTGCCTTTTTGAACACCTTCCTCTGGCAATTGACACCTCCAATCTACAGAGTAGCCACAGAACTCCACGAGCTTAACCACTAGCTCTGTTTATATCGAAAAAATGGAAATTAGCACCAAATTCAAAGAAGAAACTGAAATTGAGTTGAAATTCAAATAAATTAAGCAAAGGTCAAAAGGAAAATAACGAATTGAAGCAGATGGAAAAAACCTGTAAAGGAAATGGAGGCATCGGCGGGGAGAGCGGCTTGAGGCTTCAAACCTCAGGAGTGGTTTTGTCGAATTTTTATGTTCTTTGCATTCTATAGATTTTAATTTTAAACAAGATCCAAAACTAATTTAATGCTAAAAAAGGTAATAAAGATATTTCACCTTACTAATTAAATTAAAAATATATACAATTGTTGATTTTTGGGTTTATTTTGGCTATGTTTAGAACGATTAAATGGTACAGGATTTTGTAATAGGGCTTGGTGTAGAATTGGGTATTTAACTAAAAAACTAAATAAATAAATATAATAAATAAATAAAAAGAGGCTCATGATATATCATACGGCCAAAAACTAAACGAAACGGAGGAATTTCTTATCGAAGTTTAGAACTTTTAGAGAAAGAAAGTGTTTGTCGAATTCATGGTAAATGAATCCAGTTGGAGCGATGCTGAAGATAATCAGGTCTACAACTGCTGCTGCGGCTTCTTCTTCTTCTTGCTGGAGCTGGAGAGGTATGCCTTGTCTTCACTCTAACTCCACTCTTGTTGTTTTCCTCAACAATTACTTAGCTTTCTTTCATTCTCAACCTTCTAAACCAATCAAATCTAGAAGTACCCAACTCAAGCAGCCAGTGAGAGACTTACCCAATATCACTAATCTTGGGGATGCTTTCAATATGTTCGATAGAATGCTTCAAATGCGTCCTCTGCCTTCTGTTGCCCCTTTCAATCAAATCTTGATTCAAGTTGCGAAATTGAAACATTATTCGGCCGTCATATCTTTGTACAACCAAATGGGTATGTCGGGAATTGAACCTGATGGTTATACTCTAAACATTCTCATTAATTGTTATTGCCATTTGAACCAAATGGGGTTTAGTTTATCTGTCTTGGGAAATTTCTTCAAACTTGGTCTTAAACCAAAAGTCTCTACCTTCAACACTCTAATCAACGGCTTTCTTCTCAAGAATAGAGTGGCTGAGGCAGCAGGAATTTTCAACAAAATGATTGCGGGAGGTAATTGTCAGCCTAATGTGGTTACTTATGGCACACTAGTAAAGGGCTTTTGCATGAAAGGTAACAATAGTGCTGCTATTCAGTTGCTTAGGAAGATGGAGGAAGGAGCTTGCAAGCCTGACCTAGTTGCCTATAGCACAATCATCGACAGTCTTTGCAAGGATACACTAGTTGATGATGCATTAAACCTCTTCTCAGAAATGATGTGCAAGGGTATTGCCCCAAATGTCATTACCTATACATCTTTGATTCATGGAGTTTGCAAATTAGGCGAGTGGAAAGAAGCTACAAGGTTGTTGAATGACATGGTGAGTAGAAATATCTTTCCAGATGTGCGCACCTTCACTGTCTTGTTAGACACACTTTGTAAAGAGGGGATGGTTGGGGAAGCACAAACTGTGGTTGAAATGATGATTGAAAGAGATATTGAACCTGATACTGTTACATACAGTTCACTAATGGATGGTTACTGTTTGCAAGGAAGAATTGACGAAGCAAAAAAGGTTTTTGAACTAATGCTTAGCAAGGGCTCCATGGTTGATGCTTTTAGTTATAACATATTGATAAACGGATTTTGTAAGCATAAGATGATGGATGAGGCCATGATGCTTCTTGGGGAAATGTCTGGTAAAGGGCTGGTTCCAGATACCGTTACTTATAGTACTCTTGTGGACAGTTGTTGCAAAATGGGCAAAATAGGTGATGCACAAAAGCTGTTCTCTAAGATGCAAGCTTGTGGCCAACTTCCAGATGTTCAAACTTATGCTATTCTACTGGATGGCCTGTGTAAAAACCGACAACTTTCTACAGCAATGCAATTGTTTAGAGAGATGGAAGGGAAGAGGTTTGATCTAAATATTGTGATTTACAATATTCTTATTGACGGTTTGTGCCTAGCTGGAAAAATTGAGTCTGCAAGGGATCTCTTTTGCGGTTTATCATCCAGAGGACTTCAACCAAATGCGAGGACATATAACATAATGATTAAAGGACTCTGTATTGGGGGCCTGACAAGTGAAGCAGTAAAGCTGCTCACCGAAATGGAAGAGAAAGGTTGTTCTCCAGATGGGTATACGTATAACATAATTATTCGAGGGTTCATCAATAACAATGAGACAGTAAGAGCGATGGGACTTATTCAACAAATGGTGGAAAGGGGTTTCTCTGCAGATGCATCAACTACAGAATTGATAGTTAATTTATTGTGTAAAGATAAAGTGGATCCAGCATTGTTGCCATTGATAAAAAGAGAGTAATGAACTTAACTCGCCCCTTTGAAAGTTGAAACACACCTTCTATCACAGTAAACATTGAAACTGCAAGATGATTTCATTGAATTTTTTGTCTGAATGATTGTTGATGAGGGAGTTACTGAGTGTTTTTCTTTTTAGTATGAGGAATCTTTACAACCATAATTCTTCTCAATTATCAATAGTATGAGGAATCTTTTCAACAGCGCATCTAAGAAAATTCAATATCGATTAACGTCAATGAAAATAACTGGAATTTGCTCAAAATATGAAAACTTTTAATAAAACTGTAGTAAATGTTAAATATGCAAGTATATGGCTGGCCTTGCTTCTCCATAAAACTGTGACATTTTTATTTTGAAGTTTAGTCTGGTGTTGTTTTCAGTGGGTTGCATCAGTACTTACGTCAATAGCCATAAATTATCAAAGAAGGAAAGACCCAGATAGTAGATTTTCTGCTTGTGTTGTTGTACCATAGTTACATTGTTCTGTTACTTTTAAAAAGAATTGTAGATCAGGCTTGATGGAAAGCACCACATTTATAATTTTGTCAAGTCCAAAATACACAGATAGGAAATTCTCTATTCACATTTACGATGATAATTTTATATACTGAGAATATGCTACAACATATTTCTTGTGCAATTTCCATCGAGTTCATTTTGGAAGAAGTGTCTTCCATGACAATCTGGTAGGCTTTCGAACAGAATGCACCGGTGACTGCCGGAGATGGTAATAATAGTATCATTTTTTTTGAGTTTGTGAATAAAAAATTATGTTGGGTAAGATAAATTGTAAACTGTCTTGATACAGCATTGATTTATGGATATTCTTCCCGAAGCTCTGTTGGCATGGAAAACATTAGAGAAATGATTGGAGTTTGTCCGCAGGTGAACTGCTTTCCCTGCCTATACGCGCATATGAGCATGTATATGAATGTCTGTACTCTGTACTTCAAGAGTATGCAAGTTACGTAGTTTCCATCGTTTCGCTTCAACTCATTGCTAAATTACTCAAGGAGTAATTCTTCCCTATCACTGTTTGTATACCACCGATGATAGGGAAGGAAATCTTCCTATTGCGTACTTTCTTCTTTGCAAATGTTTGAACTCTGGGCATTATATGTAAGAAGGTTTATTGCCTTAAACCTACTAAAGTGATCTTCTAATCAATGAAGGATTGCAAGGACTTATTATTTATCAAGGACTCATATCCTATCTTGATTAGGCGCCTGCAATCAGTGTTTAAGGTTGTTTACAAAGGCTTAAGGTTTCCTAGTTCTATAAGGATTGGAATACATTAATTCTATCGCATGAAGGATATCTCTAAGTGTTTCTTGATGGGCAAGAAACTTATTATTTTCACCTATGTTCATCCATGGCTGCTTTTTTTTTTCTTTTCTTTTTTTCTTTTTCTTCTTTTTGCAGGGGAGATTTCGATGTTGGTGAATGGACAGGTAAGAATTAGAAAGAACAATTCTTAAATTAATTAGCAATTAATTTACATATATACATGGTGTTGTAGAAAGCTTGGTGTGTGGCAAAGCCTGCAGCACCACAACAAGCACTGCAGTCAGCTCTGGACTATGCCTGTAACTATGCAGATTGCAGCCCTACAAAGAAAGGAGGTTCTTGCTATGACCCAGATAGGCCAGTGCACCATGCCTCATTTGCCATGAATGCTTACTACCAGAAGATGGGAAGAAACCAATGGAATTGTCATTTTAACAATGCTAGTCTCATTTCCTTGGCAGATCCAAGTAGGCCTTCAATTTCATAATAATAATAATTTGTTTCAAAAGTTCAGATTTTCTTTTTCAGCAAATTAAACATTTTGGTTCTATACCATTTTTGCAGGTTACAATCCCTGCTGCCAATTTGTGAGTGGTATGTGTCTATAACTATAATGAGTTTTGCACATTTTCATATGCAAAAATATTTGTATAACTTTACTTTCACTTTCCCTTTTGAAATTTGTAGGAGGATCAGGACCTCCAC